CAGTTGGACACAAATACTAATGTACTAGAGTCTAAAATGGAAGAAATTCAAGATAAATTGGACAATAGAATTCAAAAAATTGAAAATGATTTGACAAACACTCAAGATAATAGCTTAGAAGAAAAACCTAAAATGGATGCTGATCAAAAGTATGGCAATGCAGAAAATCTGCAACAGAAGATTGAAAAAGAGATTTTAATGGTACAATATAATTTCACAGAATATGCGATAAGATTAAGAGGTTTGCAGGAAAATAATAGAGATGATTTAAGGAAAATATCTTCTGAATTTCTAGCTGGGATTCTAAAGGTTCAACCTGACGAAGTGTTTTGTAGGATCGACAGAGCTTATCGAATCAACTCCTGGATTGCTAAGCAAAGGCAATTGCCTAGAGATGTGGTGATTTATTTTACAGATAAGGAAATTAGAAATAATATCGTTCAAAATTCCTTCAATTCTAATTTGCAATTGTATGGAAGAAAGATTTGGATTTACAAGGAACTCCCACCTAAGATATTGATGGAAAGGAAGAAATTTGGTTTTCTGGTGAATGAGTTAAAAAAGAGAAATATCTCCTACAGGTGGGACGCCCCAGTTGGTATTATATTTAGATACCAAGGAGAAAGATATCAGCTAAATACTGTTGAAAGAGCGGAAGAATTTTATCAAAATAGGTTGAAAATGAACTTAACATCTCCAGGTATAATACAGGATAAGCAGAAGGAGCCGGAAATAAAGGTAAAATATCGAATTACAGAGACTGTACCAGATGAATTGCCTTTGGATTTATTGGATACCCCAGCTGGACTATCTACAAATTTGAGAGAAGAGGCATCTAATCTTAATGTGATGACTTATCAAGGCAAGGATAAACATGGAAACCAATTAGGGGATATACAAGGGATAAAAAAGAAATATGAGATACAAAAGCAAAACCAACAAGACCAATCTACAAAGCAGAATAAAAACCGACCAGATGATACATATTTTGTAGAAAGGGAACCAGGATGGAAACCGAACCCACAAAAAGAAAAGAAAAAAAGAAATAGGTGGCATAGAAATAGAAATTTCTAAATCAGGCAACAGTGAAGCCAGTGATTTTAAAATATGAACGATTATGTGTAAACACAGAAGAGGTGACGTATTGGTTAATATCATCCTGAGGTTTGTGGCAGATCTCTGCATGGCCATAATCTGGGGACGTGAAATGAGCCTTAAACTGATGGATTTGAATTATCCATTTTGGAATTTCTTTTTGTGTTGATAAACATATTATATTATCTTGAATCACAAGGCAAGAGAATTATGCTGGGGCATGCAGAAGATCGGGTTGTTACCCACTACGATGATGGGAATTAATAATCCTGATGAAACCCACAATTATTACTATACGGAATATAATTATAATGTCACTCGGGTGGTTGTTTTTACTTTTATACATATAAGAAGATATTTACTACTGATGGGGGCAGATATGATTGAAGATCCTGAATAAACTGTTGCACCAGTAAGCTATGTTACCCGATTATGGATGTTGGTTCTACCAATCCAGTGGAAAGACCTCAAAGAAGATACTATATGGATTATAAATTTAAAGTCATTGTCTTTTCTTTTTTTTTATTTAGATATAATGGAAAATATAGACATATATTTTTAAGTAGTGTGGGCAGTGAATCAAAGATGTTAAGAAATGTTGTGTATGGCAATTTTGCATGATAGTGGGTGAATAAGCTAGTTAGTAGATTGATTAGTCTAAGAAAAGGGATTTTTAAGTGTTATATTTAGGGGAGTGGAGGAAATGGATAGAGTGGAATAAATGTTAAACTAGATTTTATGGGGAAGGCCGCTTTGAAATGTTATAGTAATATATATAGAAGATTAAATGTTAAAGTAGGACTTATCGTATAGTTTTAAAGTGGAGAAGTTATTCTATAATGTCATAGTATAATGTCTTTTTTTTCCCCCTTTCTTTTCTCTTTTTTGATATGTATGGATAAAGGGGGATGTTATAATATTAATAATATTTTTAGCAAGTAAAGGTCAATATCTAGAGGAGGGAGTAAGTAATCTGTTAGGAATTAGGTTTTTTTTGTTATGAAGAAGTCACAGGGGGGGATGGGTGGGGAGGGGGGTTAGGGAGGGGGAGGGAGAGGGGGAAAAAAAGGGGGGGGAAATTTGTATTTGAAAACTTTTTCAATAAAAAAAAATAACTTAACAATTATAGCAAAAAGGTGGGAATGGGGAAAAACTCATTCAACAACTCCATTGCTTAGCTACAGAAAATTTGGGTTTAATTGTGGTCATAAGTCAAGGACTACCTGTATACAATATCCTAAGTCCTACCTAAGTAGGATTATTAAATGTCAGGCAAAAGGCTAAAACACACCCCTTTTTGTCCTTATCTCTCAATCAGGCAAACACAGCCTTGAAATCAAATATTGTCTGGCTTTTTGAGTATCTTGTATTCATTTATTTATTTAGGTCTATTTTCCAACAGCAGTAATTCAAACTTTTATGACCTTGTAAAATGACAGTTTCTTTCTTTCCCTCATCCACTGACAATCTAAATTTATATGATTTAATTTATTTTCTGATCCCAGCAATCAGGATTATATAAACCGGCTTATTAGATTCGACAGAGAGGGCATGTTGAGGATACCATCTGCCAGGGACTACATTTGGTGGGTTCCAGGCGGTGAATCTTCTCTGTCGTAGCACCCACCTTATCAGACATTTTCCCTCCTGACATTAGATCAGCTCCATCGCTTTTGTTATTTCAGAAGTCCTTCAAGATTTGGTTATGTCATCAGGCCTGGTCAACCCAAGGAGCCTGAGGCTTGATTAGATGGCTCCATTCTTGAGGCTGGATGTATTCATTGTCTCTCAGTATGGGGTTTGCATACCTTTTAGTTTTAATTATTCTTTATCCTAATGTTACTTTTTAATTTTTTTAATGTCCCGTATGAGTGTATAGATAGATGGTAGGTAATGTGTTCCCCCAAAAATAAGATCATGTCTTATATTTTTTGACCTCCAAAATAAGCGCTTGGTCTTATTTGGGGGGGGTCTTATTATTTTGGGGCGCATGGAGCAAGACCTAATTTACCTGATTTCCAGCTCTGTCTCCCTAACCATAACCAGAGGTAATTTTTGGGGAGGGCTTATTTTCGGGGAGGGTTTATTTTGGGGGGGAGGGCTTATTTTTGGGGAAACACGGTAGGTAGATAGATAGATAGATAGATAGATAGATAGATAGATAGATAGATAGATAGCTCTCAGAGTTACTTTTTGTGAGATGGATAGCTATATAAATTTGATTAATAAATACATATAATAAAATCAGCTTCAATCCAGCCCCTTCAATCTAGGATAGCTCTAATCTGTAGATAATTTGTTCTACATTTCTATAGTGAAATTTGAAAAGTATGTTGTCATCAATTTCTACATAATTGCTAGCATATCTTCTTGAAAATATATGCTTTAATGTTTTAATGTTTTAATGTCTTCTTTTAACTTTTGTATGGGATATTGTTGCACTGTTTTATTTCTGTTGTAAACCGCCCAGACTCCCTTGGGAGTTGGGTGGCATAGAAATGCAAATAAATAAATAAATAAATAAATAAATAAATAAATAAATAAATAAATAAATAAATAAATAATACATTTTTTGGAAAAGTAGATGATTGAGAAAGAACTGGGAAACACTTGGGCATGTCTTTTCAGAACTGGTAAGGAGCCGATTGGATGCGGTATAATATTAAAACATCTCTCCTATGAAATTACACGTATTAAAAGCCCATACATCTATAATGAGGAGGGGAAAACATGTATTAAACTGTAGCCTACACAAGACAGGAATTTGGAAGAGATCACATCTACTCATTCCCTTTTATTTATCTGCTTTTTGGATTAAGAGTATTATAGGATTAAGTGTACAAATCTCAGATACAGTTTTCCTGACTGCATATATTTCTGACATGTATTACCCAGGAAGGGAAAGAAAGAGCAACACCTGAAATGACAAAAGAGAGAATGGATACTAGTTAAAATGGGAAGGGGGTATTGATTGAATACAGGGAGTTTGCTCAATTCAAGCCAATCTTGGATATGATATGAATAAAATAACAAATACTGTGTGAGACTATTGCCTGCATTATTGTGTATTGCAGGAGTAGCAGCACAACAGGGTTATACAATTATGCAATACAACTACTGGTAGTAGCAGTATAACACCACTAGCCTTTTCTCCTAAGAAGCGGCCATCTACCCCAATATTTGGTGGGTATTTTCCACATCAAAGGCATGGCTGAAATTTGAGTGCCAGGGTTATGTATTCCTAATGGAGGTTACTCAGTCCATCTCTGCAATTCAGAATTGGGGGGGGGGGAGTCTTAATTCGTTTTGCAACTACTCAATCCACTTTCTCTTTGCTTTTAGCACTGTGGGAAGAAAAGAGGGAGCAATTGCCAGGTTTTTCTTTCCAGCAGCAGGATTTATCTCTGTGCCAGCCTACCCTCCCTTCTGCAACAATAAATGACATGTAGATTTAGAACGACAGGTTTTCTGTTATGTTGCTACAATCCCTCTGCACCGGCTTCCTCCCCCGAACACCGGAGCATTTCCTTTTTAAGAGCTCGCAAAAACACACACACACACACAAAAAGAACCTGAAAAGGAATGAAGCACAAAAAGAAAAATCTAGCCCCTTTTAAATTGCAATTCTGCCTGCCTGTCTCTCTTCAATCTGCACCCAAAGCCCAGGATCAGAGGCTGACGTCATCCTGCCCCTGAGCCTCCCTCTCTGATTGGCTGGGGATGACGTCAGGTGCTTTTTTTCAAGGCATGACCTAATCCTCAGTTCATTTTTAGTTCTAAAGTGCAACCTTCTGTCTTCCTGGATCCTTCAGCCCTGTTTAATGCTTATCTGTGCTATTCCGCCCCCCCCCAACCCCCACTCCTCCCAACATAACACAGCGCCCGCGCGCGCGCGCGCCCGCCCGCCCGCGTCCCCGGTGCGGGAATATGCCTGCTCCCTAGTTTCCTCGGCTGGCATAATGACCGCAGTTCGGTGTGGCTGCGTGGTTGTGTTTGCAAAAGGCTAAGAACTTGCCTTCTCAGCGCTTGCCCAAGCCTTTCCCATCAGATCCTCTCGTAATTGTGGTTTAATCATCCTGGCGAATGTGCAGCATTTTGCAACTAGTCGGAACGCTGCAAGGGCTTTGATCTTGGGCTGCGGAGGAAGTGCCAGGCGCGGGTAAGTGTTCCCACGTATTAAAGGGGTTGCCTTGCACGGGAGCTGGGGAAGAGTAGAGCGGGGGCTTCCTCATCCCGCACAGCACTGCAGGACCAAAAGGTACGTTGCGGGTCTGAAATCTTGTGGGAACCTGACAAGGGTTTCCCCTTCATGTACTGCAGTGCCTTCCACATCAGGACCCAAACGCCGCCTCCTGCGTGCCGCAGACGGAAACGGGGATGAAATGTGGCTGCAGAATGGGTTTTGTTTAATCTGCGACGGTGCGTGAATTTGGTCTTGCCTGGTTTTGTTTTTGTTTTTTTCTTCTCCCCCTGTAAGAGGAAGTTTGTTCGGGCGGGGGCAGGTCCTTCGGTGGCGGAGTTTGCGTGTGCGCGTTTAATGCACAATTGCTGCAGGATCGAGTAGGAACGCTCTTGCGGGCATTCGCAAAGGCGCAGCAGCGATAGCGGTGATGCGGAGAAAACAGACCTGCAACCGACCCATCGCATATTTATGACGTGTGTTGAAGTAGAAGGAGGATTAAAGGGGGTTGGGGATGAGAGATACAATTTATATACCCAGGGTCAGTAAAAAAATATAAAAAAAGATCTGAAGGTGTTGCTGGTGGTGTGTGTGGGAGGAGGGGATATATATATATATATATGTATAAAATAGCCTCTACTCCCCTTTATTGTCGTTCCTGTTGCCAGACTTGGAAAGAAAACCCAAAGGGAGACGAGGTTCACACGCTCTTTTGGGATGCTGAAATTTGAAGGCTCTGATGCTCTTGGGAGGTGGGGGTGGTTTCATAGGACTGGCTGTGCTCCTGATGCTAGGAAGAGTTTGCTCAGCCCCCAGAGCCTTGGCGATAGGGAACGGGCGCCTGTGCAAAGTTCCACTTGCTGGTGCCTTTAGCAGAACAGCTAAGTCAATACATAGTGAATTAAAGAGAGTTAAAAGCCGTTCCGACCACAATGCGTTTGTAGTTAGGGCTTCTGCCAGCAACCATGTTTGTACTGTGAGTCAGCGCTTGACTACTCCAAAACACAGACTTGTAGCCCTGTTTAGGTTCTTACTAAGGCTCTGCACCCCTATTTGTCTTGCGCCTAGTTCAACTAAAAAGCCCAGGGAGAAACTTTTTTTTTCATGATGGGCCAAGATAAAGAAGCGTTCTTGAAGTCTGTGAAGATTTGGCATATAGTATCTGGGCCAGGTTGAAATCGTTCTTGTACGGAAGAGTAATAGTGGTGGGAAATTGGGATACTTAAAGACAAAGATACTGGCTCCGCTGTTGTATTGTGGTTCTACAACAACCAGGCCTTTTCATCAGGTTTTAGCTGTCTTTATTTCCCTTTTATCAAAAGTGTGATCTGTGTTTGTTTCATAGATTTCATAGCATCGTTCTCAGCTTCATAGTCTATAAACTGAAGTTCTGTTTTTGATTAATTTGTAATCTTAGAATGAACTGTAACAAATAATGCCTAATATTCTGCAACTGTTTAATTGAATATTAGTTTTTGCAGAAACCTCACTGAACTATGAAAAAATCGTAGAGGGGAAGCCCCACATTAACTGGATTTGGCTGCAACATGTCTTCAAAGTACCATGATTTATTTTGTTAGAATTGTAGAACATCTAAAGAATTTAAAACATCTCCAAACCTACAGGAGAAGGTGTAGTAAAGGTGAATAGGGATTTGAATCTTGATTTAGTGTCTATGTGGGCAGGTGGTTAAGGAGTTGAAATGGCACCAGAAAGACTCGTCACACAAGCTCAGTGGATGATTTCAAGCCAGCCATATTCTCTATTTCTGTCTGTCTGTCTTGGTGAAGGCTACCTTACTAGTTCATTGTTCAGAAAAGTAGGAGGAAGGAGCACTGTGGAGGGTCCCTTGAGTTCTTCAATGAAAGGCTGGATGTGACTGTAATCATTCAAGCTGCTAAATCAAAGTGACTCTGAAACATGATTTAATGTCTGACCCTGATATACTGTCTTGACGTAGAAAAGAGGGAAAGAGTAAATGAAAGAAAATTATTTTTAAACCCAACATGCATTTTGACCTCTGTAGTTTAACTAATATATTTCATATTTGGACCTTTCAGATAGCACTTTTACTGCTATTGATGAAAAAGCCCTTTGTCAGGAAGCTTAAAGAGCCTGTGTACACCCAAACCAGGGAAGTGTGCTGAGCAGGCAGCAGTGAGAAAATTTGATGGGTCAGCTGACTCATTTTGCATGTGAACTGTGCAAGCCTGAATGAATTTATGTATTTGTGTCTGCGCAATTCTACGTATTTGTCTAGTGAGCATGCATGTATGTGAAAGGTATGTTGGAGTAAGAAGCTTTTAGCCACATTAGCCTAATTGCATTCTGTTTGTCTTTCTGAATGCTTGCAATCAACCATTATTAAAGATTATATGCAGCTACACACTGTCATATATTTTGCTAAAGGCTACCATGTAGCCCTATTTTATTCCATTCATAAAGTCCCAAAGGGTTTAGAGGAGAGCAACCCACTTCTCTTTCAGTCCAGTTACAGATGTGGCTTGCAAAAAAACCCCACAGCTTCATTGATCCTTCCCATTCTCTGCATGCTCACCTCCCTTCTCCCCACCTTTCCTTATAATCTGTCGAGAGGAGCATAAGATCTCTGATTGCTCAGGCAGGCAGGTAGAAATGGCTGGTTGGCTGGAGAACTGTACATTGGAAAAAAGCCTTGATTACTGTACGGTTATTCAAAAGGCAATACAATATTGGTATAATTTGCAGGGAGGGTGTGTGTGTCGTGATTTACACTTCATTTGCATGCAGTCTCAGTCACCAGGGTGGCAATGTATCTGTCAGGAAGAAAGGCTTGACCAAGAGAAATCACCCCAATTCCAAAAAGAGTCAGACCTAGAATGTGTACAGGGGAATTGAATCATAAGAAACAAGAGGAATCGAGAGGTCTCGCTGCCTCCCTCCCCTGCAGAATATTCTGGCTAGGCAAGAAATCCATTTTCCTTTCTGATAGTAAATCTTCTCCTGGTAAACATTTCCTAACTTTCAGTTTGATGCTGTCTGTGGCAGTCAAAGGCCCAGTCAGTTGCTAGACAAAGGACAATCTAGAGGCATTTTTATTAGTGTGCATTTCTTTTGTAGCAATGAACAGCATATTTTATAGCAAATGCAATGGGCCTACAGCATTTAGATTCTAACTAAAATAAGTCTGAACAAAGGTGGAGGATTTTCTTTGACACAATGGAAGAGAAAGTGTAATCCGGAATGACGCCATACACATAAAATGAGGAGGTTGAGTTTTGATCGTTTCTTTTTCTTTTAACAAAAGTTCAATTTTTGTTAAGCAGAGTCAAATAGTTTGGTTTTTTATTGAGAAATATTTGAACCAATATAGAATTGGAAGAAAATCAAGGACTCAAGCAAGCAAACATATTTAAAATAAAACCTCTTTATTCTCAGACAAAAGAAGGAATTATAGCCATGTTGGGTATGAGAAAAATGCAGATTCCACAGTTGGGTAATATATCTTTATTTGGACTAAGTAAAATAGCACAAGCATGATAGTGTTGTGGTATCTTCTCAGTTCTTCAGAATATAAAATAACAATAACCACCACAATAGTAATAGAAAATAGCAAAAGGCAAAGACCTGCAAAATAGAAATAGAATAATTGTGGCAAAGGAAAGCAAACGTCGTACCAATACTAATAAGTGCCTTGAATGGAATCTCAAAACACCTGGAGCACCACTTGAACACCATCGACATTGACAAAATCAACATCAGTCAGTTGCAGCTTTACTTAAAACAGTTTACAATCTGTGACGATACATGTAATAATAACCATCAAACATCCACATCAGCCTATCCCAGGCCCTTGGTAAGGACTCAATAGCTGGATAAAAATGCCAAATCCAATCTGAACATCTGGTTAACTGTGCAATGAACCATATAATAGGTGAGGCTGTTACACCTAAACTATCACAGGATTTGGGTCAGAATCAGTTTCTACTAGTTCAAGTTGTTTTGGTCAAGACTCTGGCCTGGATTCATCCACTGATGTCATCTAGCCCAAATGAAGAGATACGGTTGCCATATCAGTTGATGAAGACACATCCAAGTTCTTACATGTATGAAGACAATCTTGGGCATGAAAAATCTACAGAATATTTAGATGAACTTGCAAACAGATCAGGCTTAATGAGTAAAAGTTGAGTAAAGGTGGTGTTAATAGGATCTTTACTAGAAAGCTCTTTGGAAGTGGCTTGTTGTTAGAAGTATTGTTTGTGAATTTGTGAGACTGAGTACTTCGTGTCTTAGATTCTCTAGCATATTACTCTTGATTGGACCCTATTCTCATTCTCCATTATTCATTCTTTGGAACTTTTGAATAGAAGTCAAGATGGTTGGTTTCTGGACCAATTTACTGGCTATCATCCTGCATGTCACTTAAACCACAAATAATCTCTTTTGGATTTAGATTTCAGATTGTGTAAGCATGGTTTTATAGTTCTCCGAATGTAGGCCTGACCCACACAGTAGGGTAGAAAGTTTTCAAGAACTCCTAAGCCTTCCTCTTTAAATTTGCCAAATAAAGATTTCTAAAAGTTCAGAAAGCTTGTGAATTTTGATGGATCTTCATAAACACATTCTCTGATTTTAGATTATTCTGGCAGTTATTTCCTCATTGCTGTCTGCTCTGCGAATGAGATTAATATGGGTGACAACAGTAACGTCAGATGACGTTATTTGTATTTTGCTGTACAGTAAATTATTCAGTGGGCTGAACTTCATAATTAAGCTGATATTTAAGCTCATAGCTTATCATTATGAATCCAACAATCTAATTATAAATTTTATACTATCTCTGTAAATAGCACTTTCTTCTAAGCTATAATTTTATGTATAAATAACTTGGAATGAATTGCATTAAGTAGAATGGGACTTATTTCCAAGTCATCAGAGTGAGTCTTTCACCTGGTGTTGAACTATAACTCAGAGTATCACTTACTATTAGACCATTGTAGTTGGGCCTGATTGGACCTAAAGTTCAGCAATATGTGAAATTTGAAATTCAGATTGTACCCACATAAAAGTAACTCTGTTGTTGCTTTTTAGTGTGT